TTTCAGTCTGTATGTGTCCCTAGGTCTGAAGGGCGTCTCTTGTAGGCAGCATATATATGGGTCTTGTTTTTGTATCCATTCAGCGAGCCTGCGTCTTTTGGTTGGAGCATTTAATCCATTCATATTTAAGGTAATTATCAACATGTATTACCAAAACTATCGATATGTATGTTCCTATTACCATTCTCTTAATTGTTTTGGGTTTGTTTTTGTAGTTCCTTTTCTTTTCTTGTGTTTCCCACTTAGAGAAGTTCCTTTAGCATTTGTTGTAGAGCTGGTTTGGTGGTGCTGAATTCTCTTAGCTCTTGTTTGTCTGTAAAGCTTTTGATTTCTCCATTTTATCTGAATGAGACGCTTGCTGGGTAGAGTAATCTTGGTTGTAGGTTCTTCCCTTTCATAACTTTAAATATATCATGCCCCTCCCTTCTGGCTTGTAGAGTTTCTGCTGAGAAATCAGCTGTTCACTGTATGGGAGTTCCCTTGTATGTTTTTTGTCGTTTTTCCCTTGTTGCTTTCAATAATTTTTCTTTGTCTTTAATTTTTGCCAATTTGATTACTGTGTGTCTCGGCGTGTTTCTCCTTGGGTTTATCCTGCATGGGGACTCTCTGCACTTCCTGGACTTGGGTGGCTATTTCCTCTCCCATGTTAAGGAAGTTTTCAACTATAATCTCTTCAAATACTTTCTCGGGTCCTCTCTCTCTCTTCTCCTTCTGGCACCCCTATAATGCGAATGTTGGTGCACTTAATGTTGTCCCAGAGGTCTCTTAACCTGTCGTCATTTCTTTTCATTTTTTTTCTTTATTCTGTTCCACGGCAGTGAATTCCACCATTCTGTCTTCCAGGTCACTTATCCGTTCTTCTGCCTCAGTTATTCTGCTATTGATTCCTTCTAGTGTATTTTTCATTTCAGTTATTGTATTGTTCATCTCTACTTGTTTGTTCTCTAATTCTTCTAGGTCTTTGTTAAACATTTCTGGCATCTTCTCAATCTTTGCCTCCATTCTTTTTCCGAGGTCCTGTATCATCTTCACTATCATTATTCTGAATTCTTTTTCTGGAAGGTTGCCTATCTCCACTTCATTTAGTTGTTTTTCTGGGGTTTTATCTTGTTCCTTCATCTGGTACATAGCCCTCTGCCTTTTCATCATGTCTGTCTTTCTGTGAATGTGTTTTTCATTCCATAGGCTGCAGGGTTGTAGTTCTTGCTTCTGCTGTCTGCCCTCTGGTGGGTGAGGCTATCTAAGAGGCTTGTGCAAGTTTCCTGATGGGAGGGACGGGTGGTGGGTAGAGCTGGGTGTTGCTCTGGTGGGCACAGCTCAGTAAAACTTTAATCTGCTTGTCTGCTGTTGCGTGGGGCTGGGTTCCCTCCCTGTTGGTTGTTTGGCCCGTGGCAACCCAACACTGGAGCCTTCCCGGGCTCTTTGGTGGGGCTAATGGCAGACTCTGGGAGGGCTCACGCCAAGGAGTACTTCCCAGAACTTCTGCTGCCAGTGTCCTTGTCCCCACGGTGAGCCACAGCCACCCCCTGCCTCTGCAGGTGACCCTCCAACACTAGCAGGTAGGTCTGGTTCAGTCTCCTATGGGGTCACTGCTCCTTCCCCTGGGTCCCAGTGCGTACACTGCTTTGTGTGTGCCCTCCAAGAGTGGAGTCTCTGTTTCCCCCAGTCCTGTCAGAGTCCTGCAATCAAATCCCACTAGCCTTCAAAGTCTGATTCTCTAGGAATTCCTCCTCCCGTTCCTGGACCCCCAGCTTGGGAAGCCTGACGTGGGGCTCAGAACCTTCACTCCAGTAGGTGGACTTCTGTGGTATAAGTGTTCTCCAGTCTGTGAGTCACCCACCCAGCAGTTATGGGATTTGATTTTACTGGGATTGCACCCCTCCTACCGTCTCATTGTGGCTTCTCCTTTGTCTTTGGAGGTGGGTATGTTTCTTGGTGAGTTCCAGTGTCTTCCTGTCGATGATTGTTCAGCAGTTAGTTGTGATTCCAGTGCTCTCGCAAGAGGGAGTGAGATCACGTCCTTCTAGTTGGCCATCTTGAACCAGTCTGTCAGGGAAACGTTTGACACAGAATCTTTGGTATTAGAATCAGAAAGTGATGGCTCAACATCTGCCTTTAAAAAAATCAAAAATAAATCTTGTTAACTTATTTGGCTGCGCCGGGTCTTAGTTGTGGCATTGGAGTCTTCGCTGGGACATGCAGGATCTCTTAGTTGCAGCATGCAGGATCTTCTGGTTGTGCATTTCCTCCAGAATCATTGCCTGTTGAAGTGACTCAGCGTCAGCGGCTCACATTTTAGGTGTTTACTTGTGCTGAAATGATGCAGCTTAGTGAGAATTCAGCACATGGTTGTGACATCCCTGCTCAACTCCAGTTTAAAATCATCCCTGGAGCTGCAGCACCAAGCTTCCCCGCCCCAGGTGGCTGGGTCTTCGGGTCCCTGTGACAGTCACTGGGGCCCTTTTTATTCCCTCCACCTCCTGATGGCTGAAGTCAGACCTTCCAGGCTGGGTCTCAGGACAAGGTATTTACAGACTAAGGAGAAAGGCAACATGTGGCCCAGGAATGTTCTCGAGACGATCCTGGTGGGGCGGCTGCCTGTGATTCTCCATGAGCCTGGGCCCCTGCTGATGTGGTAGGACCCCCAGGGTGGGGTTCATAGTGTTCGGGGCTGCATACAGCAGGAGAACATGCAGAAATCTTTATTTCTCACTAATCGAAGGTCATGCTGAGGCTGAGAGGAAGTATTTAGAGTCTTAGTTCCTGGGAAGGAAGGAATGTATCAGCCTTTAGACAGGACATGATACAGACATACATCACCTTTGAGGCCAGAATCGTCTTTCATCGTGTGTGTGTGTGTGTGTGTGTGTGTGTGTGTGTGTGTGTGTGTGTGTGTGTGTGTGTGTGTGTGTGTGTGTGTGTGTGTGTGTGTGTGTGTTGGCTTCCCAAGACTCGCTTTGAGATCTGGCAAAACAAGGTTTAGTCCAGGTCACACGTTCCCTTTACCTCGTCGTACCTGAGAAGCCTAAGCAGCATTACTATGACCTTAATCCATAAAGTAAATGTGACATGTGGTTTGTTTCGAGAGAAATACAGTGAAGGACTGAACCCTGAAGAGAGGGATGTCTTGGTGTCCTTGTCGTGGACTCGAAACAGGGACTTGCTGGCAGAGAGATGGGTCTCAGTTATTTAACTGTAGTGTCACAGCTCCTATTAGGGGTGATACCTGCCTGTTTCAGGATAATCATATGTGATTCATTGTTGTGGTTTATCGTTAGGCAAATATAGTCACTTCGCAGATTCATAGCTGGGCTTCGGGCTTCCGGAACAAACGAGGTTAATTACTGGATAAGGTATATGATAGATGTTCGTCCAAGGACCCACGGCCCTGGGCTGAGAAGCAGAATACGTGCCAAACTAATAAGTTATGCACTGTACATCTCACCGGTTTCCCCAGAACGAACTACAAGTGTCACCTAATTGTGTTTGATTCCAGACTGTGCCTGTTTTGACCGTCCGACAGGGAACTTCTGGAGTGTCTGAGTCGGTATCTGCTTTGAATCGCTTAGGTCCAGCATAGATAAATATACATCAATAGACGATTAAAAACATGCCTAGGGCTTCCCTGGTGGCGCAGTGGTTGAGAGTCCGCCTGCCGATGCAGGGGATGCGGGTTCGTGCCCCGGTCCGGGAAGATCCCACATGCCGCGGAGCGGCTGGGCCCGTGAGCCATGGCCGGTGAGCCTGCGCGTCCGGAGCCTGTGCTCCGCAACGGGAGAGGCCACAGCAGTGAGAGGCCCGCATACCGCAAAAAATAAATAAATAAATAAATACAAATCGATAATACACCCTTAAAAGGAAACCACGCGCTAAGTTGCTGCATCTCTCAGTAGAGGCCTCTGGCTTGCTTGGGGACGCAAGTGCTTTTATGCAGAAAGATCTTCCTGCTACTCAGAACTCCCCCGAGGCCGGGCCGGGACCCTTCTCTCTCTACAGGACAGTCTAGGGAGGTGGAGGGTTTTCAGAAAGGCTCAGACCTAAGACCTGGAAGGCAAAGCTAGGATCACGTTTCCCGGGGTCCTCTGACCGGCGGGTACACAGGCAGACTAAGGAGTAATCCCTAGCAAAGATTAATTCAGATTAAGAACTTCATTCCCAGGGCAACGATCCTTTCCAGGCCAGAGTGGGGTAGAATTCTTATCTATTACAGCGCTTTTCAGTGTGCATTCTCCATTGTGTGAGGCCTGGTTTCAACCTGATGGGTCTGTGATTTATTTGCAAAGCGAAACCCAATTGTTGCTTATTCACACCCAGCCTCTGAATCTCCACAGCATTAGCTTGTAACTGTAAGTGACGTAGTTCATTGTAGCTTCTCAAAATTAATTATTTATGTTTCCATCAACGGAGGTCATACCAGGACTACTTCAATCTCAAATATGAGAAACCCAGGTGAACAATTACAATTTAATTGATTTACTCCAGTTTTTATGTTGATCCCAAAGTACTTTATCTTCTGAAAAGTATTAAAACTCTCCAGTGAACATATATATTCTGTAGAGCCTCGCTCACAGGCAGGCTAGAAAATCAGATGCTACATGAAGGAATTCTCTAGTAAGAGCAAGCATTTTCCATACGGTTTATTTTTCTAATTTTTCTCTAGGATGTGGAATCACACAGTATGATTTGGTATTAAGAGTACAGCCTCTTGGGCTCGAGTTCACGTCTAGCTCAACTGCTTCCAAACTGGCGCCCTGGGGAGGTGGCTTAGTGGACCTGTGCCTCAGTTTCCCCATCCTGTAAAATGGGCCGGTGCTGGTAGCTCCTCCCTGAGTTGTGAGGATTAGGCGAGCTAACACCGTCACCGTCTGGCGAGGTCGGCGTTCGCCGTGGGCGCTGTCGGCAGTGGCAGACATGGTGGTGGGAGATGTGCTCAGCGACGTGCGGGGCAGTGGCTGCAGGGAGTGGAGGGCCCGGCTGACTCTGTCCTCTTCCTCCTGCAGGAAAGTGGCAGATGCACGACGGCCTCCTGAACATCACCAAGGTGTCCTTCACGGACCGAGGTCGATACACATGTGTGGCGGCCAACGTCCACGGCACCGTGAACAACACGGTGACGCTGAGGGTGGTCTTCACGTCGGGGGACATGGGCGTGTACTACATGGTGGTGTGCCTGGTGGCCTTCACCGTGGTGCTGGCCCTCAACATCACCCGCCTCTGCATGATGAGTAGCCACCTGAAGAAGACCGAGAAGGCCATCAACGAGTTCTTCCGTACAGAGGGCGCCGAGAAGCTGCAGAAGGCCTTCGAGATCGCCAAGCGCATCCCCATCATCACGTCGGCCAAGACATTGGAGCTGGCCAAGGTCACACAGTTCAAGACCATGGAGTTCGCCCGCTACATCGAGGAGCTGGCCCGCAGCGTGCCGCTGCCCCCGCTCATCATGAACTGCAGGACCATCGTGGAGGAGCTCATGGAGGTGGTAGGGCTGGAGGAGCAGGGCCAGAACTTCGTGCGCCACGTGCCTGAGGGCCAGGAGGCCACCAGCGGGGACGAGGTCTACACCATCCCCGACGCCCTGCAGCGGAGCGAGTCCCCCACCGCTGACTCAGACGCCTCGTCGCTGCACGAGCAGCCCCAGCAGATTGCCATCGAGGTGTCCGTGCACCCCCAGGCCCGGAGGGAGCCCACGGATGACCGGGACGGGGGGCCCCTCGAGGCCAGAGATGAGGAGGACACCGAGCCCTCGGCCGAGCACTCCCCCGAGTCCGCGGCGCCTTCCACCGAGGTCACGTCCGCGGCGCTGACCTCCGAGGAGCCCACGCCTGTCGAGGTACCGGACCGTGTCCTGCCCCCAGGTCTCCTGGAAGCCACAGAGCCGGCCGGGGCGTGCGACAGCAACGCCCGCGTCGTCTATGAAAGCCATGTCTAACAACGCCCCCCCGAGAAGCTATGCACACCCCGAGAATCAGGGCCCCCCCCCCCACCCCCAGGGCCAGATGCAGTCCGCCCTCGCCGCTAAGCCTTACCGGAGACGCCTGTCCCGTAGGTAGGAGCCAGGCCCCTTCAGAAGGGAGCGCCTGCGTGCATGCTGTGTGCCCGGACCGCGCCCCACGACGGAGGATGCAAGCAGCGGCAGGGTGCAGAGCCGGCGACCTTGGGCAGGTGTCTGTGCGCGCGGCATGAATCTCAGAGGCTCTTCTCTGCCAGATACCTTAATCACTGATGCCCTTTTGGTGTGAGAGACTCTGAGGTCAAGAGCCCTGTCCAATGCACACTGCAGCGCTTTTCCTTTAAAAAGTTATAGGTCTGCTACGAGAGCAACTGCACGTCCGTGGGTCTGTTGCACTTTCTTCTCAGTTTTAACCCCCCTTCTCCGTTCCCCTATAACCGAGTCGTTGTTATACGGTTGCTAATCATTCCTTCTGGTTTCGTCCCCTTTGCCACTTTGTCCTTATTTCTCTCCCCCCACCCCCTCGAACCCCCCGCCAAGCTTTTACCTCAGAGGCTTTGGTGTCAGGGCTGATACCCACGAGTCATCTGTGATGTTCCAAAGCAGTTACCAGCCTCGTGATTTTTGTCATTTCCCAGGCCTGTCTCCATCCATTGCTTTGTTTGTTTGTTTCCAATGAAGCTACTGTTGTGAAACTGAGAAAGAAAAAAAAAAAAACCTTGCCCAGGATAGCACTTTAATAGCCAAATAAAAATGTGTTGCCTGTCCGATTCTGAGAGCCTTTAGGTGAGCTCAGCTGAGGTGGCAGGGAGACTGTAAACTTGAATTTACCCAAACTGTCCATGAAAGATGCTGTTTTTACGTGTAAGTAACGTCATCCTCCAAACACGGCTGCTGCTTGATCTGGAACGCATGGTGCGTCCAGAGACAGAGGCATCTGAGGAATCCATGTAGGTGTAGAATGTGGGCCGCCAGGGGCCGTCCGGTGACCCAAACACTTGGTTTGGGGCAGCAAGTGTGAGGGTCCGTGGGATCGCCTAGCCAGGCCCACTTCCCTGAACTGCAGGGCTATCTTGTCCGTCCTTGAAGGGGAGAGTGAAAGGTTCGGGTGATGGCCTCCAATTTCACGCCAGAATTCTTGAATTAATTGTGTCCCACAAGAAAGCAGTTGTACGTGCGGCAGAATGATGTTATAGAAACGACAAAACCAGTCACCCAAAGGCTAGCGTCTCGTCTGATGGTGCCAGTAAGCACCGCAGGCTTTGGGCAGGTGGGGCCTCCGTTCCTTCCCTGGCAGAGGGACAGACCAGACGGGCTCGAGCTCCATCTAGATGGTCCCCTCTCCCGCAGAATCACCTGGCCCTCCTCTCCAATTACTCGAAAGATTTTTCACTTTCCTCTCTGGTTCCTCTAATCTTCTTTATGGTGAAAGTTAGTATTGATGCAAATCAAGAGGTTCGGTTTCAAAAACTCAAAACCAAAATCATTAGGGCAGCGTCTGCAGTTTAGATGTCGACGTGGAAGAATGAGAGGTATTAGTTCCTTTCCATTTATGAGCAGGGGAGCCATAACCTTGAAGTCGTCTTGAGGGTCGCAGCCACATCATGGTTTCCATGGAGGTTCGCTGGGCCACACGGATCGTGAGAGCAGACCTGATGTTTAGTCCTCACTCTCGCTATCTGGATAAGTGACCTTCGACACCCCCCTGGGTTTAATCTTTCTCATCTGACAAACACGGAGGTGGGACTTGATGGGTCCCCAGATCCCATCCGGCTCAGACATTTTAGAGTTTTATGGAAAGTTTGTGATGGCCCCCCTTGCAGGAAACAAGCAGTCTTGGGAGCAAACATGGGCACGTGAGGTTACTCTTGCCGCCAACCTTCACAGCAAAAGCATCTGAATCTGTAGCTGAGGGCAGAGGGTTTGGCTTCAGGGGTTTCTCTATGTATAGATAACTGGTGTGACAGGTGGTCTGACAAGACTCAGTTGGATCAGAGTCCTCTTGGCCTCAGATGACCCATTACCATCAGGTAGGAGAGTCTTGGGTGGTCACATAAAAAGTGAGTCGTGAACGGTCCAGAGAAACCTTGACCTCCCACTTGCACTCTCTGGACGAGGGTTTTCTGTATTGGGGTTGCAGAAGAGTTTTATCTCCACCTCTTAGAATTTTCCACTTGTCATGGAGGTCAGCAGATTCTTACCATGGATCTGTACGCCCAAAGCAACAGCAGGGACCCACACTCATTTTGTGACATTGCGTGAACTTTTTCCCATTCTGTCCAGGTCTCCCTCCACCGAAACCCATGTGCACATTTCCACGTGGAAATTACAGGAAAAGGCATCTATCTCTCCCATCTAGGCACTGATGAGGGATAGAAAGTTAAAAACGGGCAGATTTTTTATGGAGCAGGAGCAGAAACGTGTGACCAAAGAATGTTTTCAGGTTGGTTTTAGCTTCTTTAGACTGGCGAGATTATATAGATTTTTCAAAACCTTTCCCCTCTTTAAGGCATCAGAAAGCTCTTGATAGAATAACAGCCAACCAAAGAGGAGGCTGGCTTACGACGAAGATTTCTCTGTCCAGAAAGGCTACACTCTTCCTGTTCGTCCTGTAGCTTCTTTACAGAATAGGAAAGCTCTCCTGCTAGAATATGGAACAGAGGTGATCTCGTGACTTTGGGCTGATTTTTCAAAGATAAACCGTTGAGCTTCATAGAAATCCATAAAAGTATGGCTGCTTGTGAGCGTGTGTGTGTGTGTGTGTGTGTGTGTGTATATGCACACATGCATACGTCAGACTCATTTGGGCAGTTTTAACAGCTTAGCACTAAATCCCAAGCCATGTCCTTTGGGTCTTAGGTCATTATTCTCAAAAGTAAGCAGTTTCTGGTTTCTGAGTCATCTGGTCATATCTCTAGCGATTTTTTTTTCTTGAAGTTCTGAAAATGATTCAGATATGTGTGCATATTTAATTCACTTAGATGATCTGTAAACTTGGATGGTATTTATTCTAAATGGGAAAAAATTTTATACTGCAAATCTATGTAATTTATAATGGTTTTGTTTTATATATTATATTTTCATATTTTTAGGGCACATCTATTCTCATCTTTTTGTATATCATGCTTGACAAAAAGAACTAGTAATACTTGACTAAATCTCTAGGAACCAAATGTGACATCTATAATGTATAGAAATCGCTCGGAAAGTAACTGAATGTCCTTACCCATCCTGAGCACTATTGTGCTGTGTCATTACTCCCGGAATGATGGCTGGTGAGCGTTTCTTTTTTCAAAACCAAGCCAAAAGGCCTGGCCTCCCACACAGTGGAGTCTGGAATCCTTCCCTTCTTTATCTTTTTCGTTGTGTGTTTCATTTTTAATTGTAGACATCCCGTGTTGTTCAGACTTCCTTTGAAGGGCAAATGTGAGATAAGAAAGCAACTTGATTGAAAGACTTGGCTGGAAGGATGGCTGTGTAACTTATTCACTGGGCTGGTAACATTTCTCATCTAATGGTTGGATTGTTCTTTATTGGTGATCTCAGAGCTGTTCAGCTGTTTAGCTCGTGAAGAAAATGTTAGGCAGACAGAATGTTTGCAAGATTTGGACAGACAGCCTCTAAATGTAGTGCAGCCAACACAGACCAGCTGAGCCTTAGAAACCCCGGTCCCAGCCAGTGGACGAGCCGTTTCAGAAGGCGAATCAGACTCCTGTGTGTGCAGGTTGAATTTCAGTGTTGTACCAGTGCTAAAACTCTTCAAGGGCAGCCCCTGTGGTTCTGTGAACAGGGGTTTCCTCCCAGTGTTTCACTGGGTAAGAAAACGGAGCATTTCCTTTATCTTTCAGATACTCTAATTTATACTCAGCGCAGTTCAGCGACTACTTCCCTGTACCTGTCTTCACGTACCCTTTTGGCAGTCCTTTTAGATCATAATCCTGGTTTCTGTTCTTGCTTTTTAAGCTAATTCATTGGTACTCTTTACATAGCCAGCAGATCTCATTGTATATTCACACACGTGTTTTGAGCACCTGTTACCTTCACGGTGTTAGTCATTTTTACATTCACCTATTGATTTAAAAATCTTTTAGTAGATAACAGAGTTCATCTTCCTAATGACCCTTAGGGTTAAACCAGTGATTAACAAGGTTTGAATTAAACAAATCAGTGGTGGGGAAAAAATAGAAAAAAACAATTGCTTCTTATGCTTTCTGAAGGACTGAGTGTCTGTTAGACAAGAAAATGTTGTATGAGGGTGATAATGATCTTTCACTGAGATATTTTAGAAATGTCATTTTTAAGGGGACTAATGCTTAGAATACCACAGTCGAAACTGAAGCTCATAGAGAATGTAAAAACAGAAAGCAAATAGTTCTAAGAATATTCTGGCATAAATTATTTTTATTTAACGAGGAATTGAAACCTTCATCGTATCTCTCAGACACCCCAGCACCGCTCACAGAAGGTGCTGGCGCTTAACGTTTGATGTGCTATTCCTCTGGTTCTGGAATTTCTTTGTTAAAGCCAGGAAATAAGATGGAAAAATGTATCTGCGCGGAAATGTCAAACTGTTGATTTGTGAGCTATAAATGTTCACCTTTTAAGAATAATTTAAAGGTATAAACAAATGACTAATATTTAAATTGATATAGCAGCAAAAAAGCAAAAAAACATGTGAGCCATCCTGTATTTTGGTTGTTGCTTTAATAAAGGATTTGCACAGGTGTGCTGAGCGTGTCGTGTCCCAGCTCAAGGCTGTGTGAGTGTGGCCTGATTTACTCTTTCCAGTGGTAAGAAATCTGTAGTCAATCCTCACCCCTACCTTTTGCATCTGTGGCACATCTTGGGGAAAAGGGAAAAATGAAGTAATTGTTACGTGAATCTACAAACTTTATCCAAATTCAAAAATCCTAACTCTGGCCTGACAAACGGGATAGCCATTTATTTTTTATAAATGGCTGTCTATACGAAGAAATAATTTTTAACATGTAACATCAAGCTTATTGTAGAAAATCCACAAAGACCAGGAAACTCCCCTACCCAGAACATTCCACGGGAGAAGGCATTAGTCATAGATCCAACACGAAACACCTAGACAGAACCCAGTCCAGACCAAATCCAAGAATATGCTAAGGAGGTGCCCTTTGAAAGCTTTGAAAGCTGGATTCCTCTCAGATAGATAGGATGAGGTCATGTAAACAAAACAAGAAAGGACAACACCAAATGGGAAAGAAAATCAGTGTTTTGCTGTAGATCTGGAGAGGCCAACAAAATTATTGAATGGGTTACCGGATAAACTGTGCATATAACTGAGATCCAGAGGTTCTGTCAAGCAAAAAAAAGGTTTAAGAGAACTATGGTGGCATTCATGGAAAAATGAACAATTGTGCCACCAGGGAAGAGAAGATAGGAAAGTTTTGTCCTAACTGCGTAATTTTGACCGGTACCTATCTTCAGACCCAGAACAAACAGCTGCCATTTTTTTTTTTTTTACAGGTTTTGGAATAGTGCATTCTCATGGGCCTTAATCACAGGAGCCTAGGTAAGGCTTAACATTAATCTGAGTGATATTCAAAGCGTGTAGTCACAGAGCTGGAAAACAAGTGTCAGGTTTTCTGATTTCCCTGTCTTTTCGGCAGAGTCCCTAACACGCAGGGGTTCCACTCTGCTTGAACATCTCTGGTGTAGCAGAGCCCATGACCACGTTGAGGACATGCTCCGGTGTTGGTAGGTTTTAAGCGCTGAGTCAGAAATCTTAAAAGTGGTTCCACACTGGTCCTTGTTGAGCATCTGGAGCTGAAAGCGTGAGTTTGTCCTGCCACGATAAAATGTTCCTTTACTGTCAACCCCAGATGAAACTTATAAGTGTATTCACGTCAAAGAGACGATTACCAAAAAACGTGGGTGCTCCTGGCACCCACGACATGAATTACACGCCATGTGGCACAGACCCTTTTGAGTTGAAATGGTTTCTGCCAACGGTGTTGGAGGCAGAAGTAGGCAAATCAGGTGCTCCCCCAACCCCGGGGATGCTCTGATGCTACAGCTCATTAAGTAAAGGATGGTTCAACTGCCAGAAAAATGAAAGAACCAGGAAATTAAGTGCCTCAGTAGATTAGTATGTTTTGGCAGGACCATTAGAGATGACACACTGAAAGAAGTGTATGTGTGTGTTAAGTGGCTTATTGAGGTATTTTTCAATAATAGGTGAATCAGAGCCAGCACCAATTGCATTTAACTGTTGGGTAAAATAAAGACGCCAAGGGTAAAATAAGAATTTTCCTAAGATATTAACTCGTATTAAATAAACTAAAAACTACGAATGAAGATTGATGCATAGCAGTATGAATTTTTCAAGAAGCGAATTTCTCACTGCCAATGGCGTAGGTTTTCTTATAAGGGACTCATGTTTTAAAGCTCATTATGGAATGGGAATTCACAGGAATCATGCAAAAAAAAATTACCTGGGCATAGAACTCTAGCTAGATTGAGGGTCTTTCTGTTGTTCAGTTTTCATGCTGTACAGCATCTGTTTCCTGAAAGTTTTCATGATTCGTAGGAAGCTCACATGCACTGGAGACCCTGACGGGATCGGCGTCTCTGATTTTTAGGTCTGATGGATTATTACTTCTACTGTGGCATACTTCTTCCACCCAGCCGTTTGATGAGGTGAATGAAGTTGTCCCAAAGCTTTAAAAATATTCCTAGTTCTAAACCTCAAGGTTTTTACATGAAGTAGGAAAGAAAGGACAAGTCTGTCTGAAGAAAAGAGGTAAACTTCTTCCATACCAGCTGTGCAGATAGCCCTCACTGTCAGATGATGTCTCCTGTCTTTCCTGCTAGCATTACCTCACCTGTTGGGCCAGTGGACCAAGCTATTATGCATGAAGTAAGATGCTTGATTACAGTTAGAGACTGAGAAAACTCATCCACCAGGTAGCAGACACTTGAACAGACAAGAGGTACATTTTAATATTGGCTCCACTTGAGATGATTCTAAAGCTGAAACATTACAGAAATTAAGACCTGGCACCATATTTGTAGAAATGTCTTCATCTCATGAAGAAGAAATTTTGAAAGTGTTAAGACCTCAGAAATTATAGAAAATTTAAATACATTTGTAGGAAAAAGAAAGATGACAGCTCATATGGGAAGTCTGGGATCCGTTTTTTTGTGTGTTCAGAATACCACTTTCCTAACTTTTTGTCATTATAGTAGTTATTGAGATACATTAGTGATATTTCTGAAACCCTGCCAGATCCTGAAAAAAAAAAAAAATTAACCCAAGTTTTTTTTTAAATATATGCAGATAAATAGTTAGATATCATCTAACTATTTTATGTTACCTTCTCTCATCCCATAATGGATTTGAGGTGACTGAGTTAAATATATTTTGCTCTCTGTGCGTCCTCTGACAATAGTAATTGCTGTGTTTCATACAAGTTCACTAACTCAATAACCAGACTACTTTATTAATCGGACATTTTATTCCCAATCATTTTGAACCCATGAGAGATTCTCAGTGTGGCTCTAAAAGAAGAACAGCTGGATGATCTAGAAATGCTTTTCTTTATCTGTAGCTAAAAATGGAAGGTTTTCTGCTGTGACACAAGAATAAGATGATTATGCCATACAAACAGACTGAATGTTTGTTTCTCCTCAAAAACCGTACATCGAAATCCTAAACCCCAATGTGATGGTATTGGGTGGTGGGGCCTCTGGAAGGTGATGGGGTCATGAGGGTGGAGCCCTTATGAATGGGGTTAGCGTCCTTATAAAAGAGGCCCAGAGCACTCCAAAGACACAGCAAGAAGATAGCCATCTCTGAACCAGGAAGCCGGCCTCACCAGGCCTTGAATCTTCCAGAGCCTTGGTTATGGACTTGCCAGCCTCCAGAACTGTGAGAAATGAATGCTTTTTTTAAGATGCCAGTCTATGGTAATTAGACCTTTCATTTTGAGAGTTCTAGATTCCCACGTGGTTGTAAGAAATACTACAGAGAGATCCCACGTACACTTGACCAGTTCCCCCGGTGGTCATCTCTCACAAAAGCATTGCACACCATCGCAGCAGGGCATCAATACTGATAGAGTTCTCCAGTCTTAACCAGGTCACCCCAGTTTTCCACGCACTCATTTGTGTGTGAGCATTTAGTTCTGTGAAATGTTACCACACATGTAGGTCTGTGCATCCACCCCCACCAGCAAGGTGCAGAACATTCCATGAGTACAAAGACCCCTGAGTTGCCCTTTCACAAGCACACCTCCCTCCCTGCCACCCCAGAACATATATATATGTTTTTTTACATCGGTAAACTTAACTAGATAACGGAAGCTTCTCTGGAACCAACTGTAATAAGTATGTTTTACCAATAGAAATATATGGGAATTTGTCACTTTCTTGATGTCTGAATTCCTGTTGCTTTAAAAGGACTTGTACAATGAAGACAGACAGGTGTGGTTTCTGAAACACAAAGGGAAGACAGCCAGACGTTTGAAATCCTAGAAAACCCTTCAGAAGGAGGAACGTGAGGCAGGCGTCTTGGAGGAGGAACTCTGGGATGCCCAGTTCACGCCTTGCACTCTGGAGCAGCCGGAAGATGCAGAGCACGGAACAAGGGCGTGGTTGCTCCATGCCTTGAAAAGTCTCAAAGAGAAAGTACTCCCTCCCAAATGTACAACATCTAGGGACAGTCCAGAAGTTCCAAAACTAAGGCGCAGAGGGGTAAAGGCTCAGACAAGCTCTGTGAGGCTGCGGATCTCGATAGCCTTGTTTTCCGCTCCCTTGGGTAAGACGGGACGGGCAGGTTAGTGCCAGCCCCTAGGCCGCCATGAGGTACCTGTCACTTCTGACGTTATATTAAGAAAGCATCTCAAGTGTTGAACTTAAGACAGCCGGCCACAGTGGTGAGGAAAAGATCCTCTGCCCCGACGCAGGAAGGCACAGGAGGCAGATTCCAGAACAGGGGCATCTGAGGAGTCTCGAAGAGTCCTCATTCGGAGCCGCTGGAAAGGCACCGTGAAAGAATCCTTCCAAGTAATATTGTTCTCTTACTGTGCAGATGCCCTGGACTCGTAATCACATTTGGCTTCCATCAGGCATTATGGGTACAGAGCGTGGGTTGGTTTGCTCCTGTGACTCTTAACAACCAGCTGAAATCTGAGTGCCCAGGACCCAGGAGTATTGAGGAGGGTACGGGACTTCCAGGAGGCCAGCCCTGGCCGGAGGTCCTGAGCAGCCTGAAGCTGGACACTGACCTCTTGGAAGCAGGAGAAAACTGAAAAACAACTCTCCTTCATGCTGTTAGCCAGGGGCAGCTGTGCCCAGATAAAAGTGAATTTTTAAAATATGGAAAATGGTAAATGCATTAGCTTGTGTGAATCAGTCATAAAAATTACAGAAAATTGGGCTTCCCTGGTGGCGCGGTGGTTGAGAGTCCGCCTGCCGATGCAGGGGACACGGGTTCGTGCCCCGGTCCGGGAGGATCCCACATGCCGCGGAGCGGCTGGGCCTGTGAGCCATGGCCGCTGAGCCTGCGCGTCCGGAGCCTGTGCTCCGCAACGGGAGAGGCCACAACAGTGAGAGGCCCGCGTACAGCAAAAAAAAAAAAAAAAAAAAAGATTACAGAAAATTATACTCATTACCTAATTTCCAGCCAAGAAACCCCTCCAGTTTTGGTCCTGGTTGTCTCCCCGGTGACACGAACCTCAACGACTGAAGCATTTTGTGCTAAGCTAATCAGTAGGGTCCTGTTACAAAACTCAGGTTATTAAACCATTACTAAGAAATGATTCCCAGTGATAGTGGAGGGCAGACTTTCCGTTAAGCAGCAACATTGAAGCCTCTTTCAAATATTTATTTTGAGTGTGCTACATTAGGATACTTTGTCTCCATCAAGTTCAAAAATGTGTCTCCATCAAGTTCAAGAATGTTTTTGTCATAATTGCCACGTCAGTAAAGTTGCTGTTCTGTATTTCCCACTCGAAACTCAGGACTAAGCCCGAGATGTGCACACCATGCTCTGACCATGAGGTTCAGGTTTATTCTGTACCAGCTAAGTTTTGCTCTGTTTCCTCTGCATAGGCAGTATTTCACAGCCTTACAAAATTGTATGTGCTCATTCATCAGCAGTGGGATGTAACATTTCCTGTCATTTTTCATATCAAAGTGTATTTAGGTAAAGCTGGGTAAACCCTTAAGTCTTTTTGTCGTTGTTGTTGAATTGTAATAGTTCTTTATTATATTCTAGATACAAGTCCCCTATCAGATATATGATTGCATAAACCCTTAAGTCTTTTCTTTGGTTTCCCCTTCATAACAAGACGCACCCTTCTTCTTCCCTGTCTTACCGGCAGGGTAACCTAGCAGATGATCCCATGTTCTAAACAAAAAAGTCATTTTCCCAAGAGCATAAGAGAATCTACGGCTACCAGACCGTGAGCTCTGTGCAGACAGCAATCATGTCTGTATCCCCACAATGCTTCCTACAGAAGCGTAAAGATTACTAGCCTTTAGTAAACGTTCATTAAATGAAAACAAATCTGTCTTCTAGCTAATTAGGATTTATTGATATTGGATTAAATGTCTTCATTCATAGGGCCCAGTGAAGGGTAAAAAGTACACTTTGAAGAATCTCCTGGCACCTAAAACCATACTTGAACAGACTCCCCCCGTCACAGGATGGGGTAGGTTTCTTTTTCAAGGAGTAGATTATAACTCTTCTCTTTTTGTCGAACTTTAACCTAATATATTTTTTTAAAGAGCCGTTTAAAAGTCTTCCGTCCACTCTGGTGGTGTGTTGGTGAGACAGCTTTCCACAATTAGAAACCTGCAGTGGATTCAACAGAAAGGAATGGTGACACTGGAATCACCTCTATGTCATTTCATGTCGTATTCTCTGAGGGCACTTTTCAGACCCTGGAGGGTCGAGCAGAATAAAAACCGCATCCTTTCTGCAGCTCAGATACTGGTGGGGACGGTCCATGCATCCCGGGGACAGGTCAGTGCTTAACCACCCAGGCTGCCCTGGCCCCCTTCTAAGTTTCTTTTACCTCAAAAGAAACAACAAAGTTCTAGTGGAGAATCCCCTTTCTCGAGCCCAAGCTGCCCCTCTCCTTAAATCTTCACCAGGGCAGACCAGCCCCAGTGGAAAATGAACCCACACACAGCTGATGGGTTTAAATGTTCCTGAACAACCAGGGGTGTGTACCCCCCTGAATTGCTTTCAGGGCACAGCAGGGCAGCGCTGCCCACGGGCCTCATTGTAGGAGCGGGAAAACCGGGCTCATTAAGTGAGGGAATTATTTCAGGATTGAGGAGAGACAGGATGTGACATAATAGGCATGCCACCCCGACTCACGCGTGTGCTGCCGCTGAGCTGCGTGCTGTGGCGTCGCCCGCGAGGGCTTCTTGGTGCAGCCGGTGCCCGGGGTTTGTGAAGGGCCACCGCTCACCACCCTCCTGGGGAGATAAAGGCCCTCTGCAGCTGCAGCCTCGTCTCAAGGGGTCACCATCACTTCCTCCCCAGCTTCCCCTCCATCTTGGTCTTGTCGTGGGGCCTCAGCCCCCGGCAGGCAGGGACCACCTGTGTTTTCCTCCCGTCTTGAAGTCAGGTGCTTCCTGGGGAGGGGCTGGGCTCAGGCTCCCACAGAAGGCCCCAGCATGCAGCCCAGGAGGTGGAGGCTTCCACCGGCGCTCGTGTTTCCATCTTGGGGACCTCTGGTCCCCTCCAGCCACTCTTGGTCACCATATGCCACTACTAAGGCACATAAACACGTCCAAACAGCGACTGCTTTCAGTGCTGTGAGTTACCTCCCCCTGCCCCGGTGCTCACCAGGCTCTTTGAAAGATCAGCCTGCCTACTTGCTCAATTCCACCTTTCCTTCCAAACGTCACAGGGGAGCAGGCCAAGCTGCCCTCCACTAGGGCTGATTCCTCCTTACGGTCCTAGGCCGGGCCACACAAACCCAGCCTCCCCTCTTCCCCAGCCTCCCTCCACTGACCAGCCCCGGCCCTGGCCCCGGCCCCGGCACCACCATCAGAGCATCATCGTCACTGTTCACCCTTGACCTCGGGAACTGTGCAGACCCTTCTGAGAGGCCTCGAGCTGTTGGGCCATGAACTGCTTCCCTGTATAACAAACTGCTGAGGTGCCATGAGCCCGACTTTCCCATCACGCCGCACACGTGCACACACACACACACACGCGCGCGTGCGCGCGCCCCAGCACCCTCTGCAACCGGAGGCAGGCAAGGAGGAAGAAGAGCTTCTTCCAGGGCTGTGATCCCTCCTGGTCCCTCTCAGAAACAGTAACTATGGAAAATCAAGGGGATGCTCTTCCAATAGCAGAACACATCAACACGGGGTACACACGCGGTCTTGCCATGGGGCGACTGAGATCTGAGCTATAAGAACCCCTGTCACCCCCTCCATGGCATCCACCTGGACAGAAATGCACCTGCCACCAGGTCATCCAGGTCTCTGTCTTGGTCCTAACACCACCCTCCCATCCGAACGTTGAGTAACCATCCAGAGGCAGTAACGGGGGAACATTTCCACTGGGGTCCACGGCGGCCACTCTGTCCCACCCCCCTGTGGAGCCTGGTTCCGTAATCGCTGCTGCTCAGACCGGAGAAGGGCCCAGACCCAGAGCTCCATCCACTGCCCCGGCATCCGGCAGGGTGACTGGGCGCCTACTTGCTTATGTAACATCAGCCGTGCCCAACCTCGCTGTAAATCCTCTTTCCTGGCATCTGCAGTCACAAGAGGCTAGACTCTAGGTATTAATTATAGGGTGGAAATCCTTCTGAACCCTTTGTGACTCACTTCTGTCTACTTTGCTTTGTGTCTCAGCTGCCCTTGAGTTCTTTATCTCCACCCGATAAAGGACCTGTTCCATCCTGATATGGGTTAAAGGTGGGTCCAGTTGGTTTTTACTTTTGTACGAATATTGTGCAAATAAAATCTTAATTGCTCCTGTTAAATACGCAGGAATTCAGTTTTACCAGTGATCAAGTGTTTACTTCGTCACCTGTCCTTAAAGTGAGTCAGAACAAATCCTACTATGGTATCTAGTTACATCATCTTCTTACCCAACAAGCAGTAAGTTCATGGACATGAATAGGGTTTATTTACTCGACAGTTTTCCTGATCTGATAACCTCTGGGTCTACTTCTGTTTTACACTGTGTATTAAATTTAAATAGTAGGGGAAAGAAATAAGCATAAGAAAACGTGGAGGGTAAGCCTAGATGTGTCTCAGAATTCCCCCAGCATGAGTCTGTGGTGCGTTTCTTTTCTGCAGATTAGCTGAGTACAGGTTCCTGGGGTCCAACAGGAAGTCCTGGTGTTAACTGCCCACTAGGTAACATGCACCTCATCGTCTCGTGGTGCCTACACATGAACAGTAGGACATCGCCTTGATCAGTAGAGAAGTCTGCCCAGCGAAGACATAGGCATTGGCTTGTTGAAAAGCATCCTTCATATTGATATTGGTACACATAATCTTTTGACTCGTTGAAAAGTGGTGTTTTTCAGTAAAGCAAAACAGTCCTTTTTTGTAAAGTTCAAGTGATAATCTTCAGATGAAAGGCCAAAAAGTGCTTATAAATTTGGGGGAATAATCCTGAAGCATGTATGTTATTCAAACTCTTTCAGATTAATATGAATCTCTCTGAAATAGAAAACGAAGGTATCTATCCTGTTTTGCAGTTAATATGATTCTGCATTCATCAACCCTTAACGAATTCTCCCTCATACAGTCGATTAGTGACCAGCTGAACCAAATAATGTCCCTTTATTTTTTTTGCAAAATTTTATTTCATTTTAATTAATCAGATGATGATAAGGTTTGGACACACAAAACAGGATTCAACAGAAAGCCAGTCCCTCTTTAGTAATTCAACTTTCTTTTAGTTTACAGAGCACCACTGCACACTCTCAAGTCCTGCCCTGTGAGCAATTCCAAGGTCAAGGAGGCACTTCCTAACTGCAGAGGTACCGAGAGAAAGCAGTTCTGTCAAACTGTGTGTTTACAGACACGTATCTTTATTGGATGTTTGTAAGGGCCAAGGAAACACTAGACTCCAAGAGCATAAAAATGAACAAGACCTGGTTCCTGTCCTTAAAACTTTTTAGAAAGTACTTAAGGTACGTAGTAAATATCTACAGTAGATGATTTTTCCAAAAGTAATAAATGTTGGAGAAAAGGTGGCACACCCTCAGAGATGTTAGGGATTGAAAAGAGTAGCTCAAGATTAGATTGCAACATCATCGTGAAACACATGCCTCAGATGTTTGTCTTCTGCTACTGGTGATCATGGAGTGTGAAACTCCAGAGCAGCACGGATCTCATTACAAGAGGAAGAACTACCAACACCCCGTTCTTGGTAAAAACACTTACTTAATGTTAAAGAGAGGCCAGAATGAAGACAGGGTTTTTGCTCTGTGGATAAAACTGATTATGTACTGTGAAGCATAAATCCACTTAATCCAGCTCTCAAGAAATGCCTAGAACTGTGGTCAGGCATCTGAGATACCATTCCTTGTGCCTATAAGGACACACTACACCTGTGGGGAAGCAAGAATTTTATTATATTTTATTTGATCAGAATATTATAACTTGCAGAAAAAAATCTAGTTGGTTCAGGTTTATGTTGTATTTTGAAAGTCTGTTCTTGTTCAAACAGACATAGCTCTATAGAAGCATCAGCTCTTGTGTAAAATGCTCCAATTTGCACCTCTCTATCAAATCCATTAAAAGTGAATCTTGGGGCTTCCCTGGTGGCACAGTGGTTGTGAGTCCGCCTGCCGATGCAGGGGACACGGGTTCGTGCCCTGGTCTGGGAAGATCCCACATGCCGTGGAGTGGCTGGGCCCGTGAGCCATGACCGCTGAGCCTGTGCGTCCGGAGCCTGTGCTCCGCAACGGGAGAGGCCACAACAGTGAGAGTCCCACGTACCGCAAAGAAAAAAAAGTAATAAATGCCCTCATGGATAGAGAACTGAAATCCTAGTAAAAGTCAAGGGAGGAATGCCATACTTTTGACTGGGAGAAATCAGGAGAACTCTGAATAAAAAAGTAATTTCAGGGGATCTCCCTGGTGGCGCAGTGGTTAAGAATCCACCTGCCAATGCAGGGGACACGGGTTCAAGCCCTAGTCCGGGAAGACCCCACACGCCGCGGAGCAACTAAGCCCGAGCTCCACAACTACTGAGCCTGCACTCTAGAGCCCATGAGCCACAACTACTGAGCCCACATGCCGCAACTACTGAGCCCACATGCCACAACTGCTGAGCCTGCTCTCTAGAGCCCGTGAGCCACAACTACTGAGCCCACGTGCTGCAACTACTGAAGCCTGTGCGCCTAGAGCCCGTGCTCCGCAACAAGAGAAGCCACCGCAATGAGAAGCCCGCGCACCACAACGAAGAGTAGCCCCCGCTTGCTGCAACTAGAGAAAAAGCCCGCATGCAGCAACAAAGGCCCAATGCAACCAAAACTAAATAAATAAAAATTAAATTGAAAAAAAATAGTAATTTCAGATCATCTGTGACGGGTAGTTGGGATTTCGGCAGATGGAGATGGACTGGATGTGAGGTGAAGGGTGAAGGCAATAAAGGGCCCAGAGGGCCGTCTGTTGGGCTGGAGTGGGGAACGTGGGGCGCAGGAGAGAAGTGGGTTGAGGTCTCCTAAAGGCCAGTGTGCAGAGTGGACAGGACAGACCTCTGCTTTGGAAAGATGCTCGGGAGAGAGTGAAGCCCCTCGTGGGGGTTTCAGAGGCTCTTGATGAGGGTCTGAACCCGGTGAGTGGCAGGAACGGCAGGGTGATCGGCCTGGACCTGAGAGATGTTTCTGAGGGCCTCGTCGGGGGCTTGGGCCACAGTAGTTTCTGGAGTAGGAGGGTAGGAGAAGCAGAAATAAATTGGAGGTTTTAAGCCTGGATGGCTAAGAGAATCACATTGCCGTCAGAGAAGCGGGGAGGAGAACGTAAGAAAAATCGAACACTTGCAACAGTTACACCCGTTACTGCTGTGACGTTTGCAAGTCCTTTGCGGCTGCTTGAGATTGACAGATACGTGTCTATAAACACGTAGATTGACCACTGCTCTCTCTCGGTACCTCTGCAGTTAGGAAGTGCCTGCTTGTTCTTGGACCTGCGCACAGGGCAGGACTTGAGAGTGTGCAGTGGCGCTTTGTAAACTGAAAATACGATACAAACAACACTGAACAATAGAATCAGTGATCTGTCTTCTGTTGGAGGTAGAGACTCATCTATTTGATATATTGACGTATTCGTTACTAGAAAATCCTACTGTTGTTCCAAAGTCCCCAAGCCAGGGGTTTATAAAGACATGTTGAGCAAACAGCAGTCACATGGCTTAGTTAGGGTGCCTTGGGCTGCCAGGAAGGTAGAAAACACAATTCAAAGTGACTGAAGCCACGTTTTGTTTTTTTTTTTTTTTTTTTTTTTTTTTTTTTTGTACTCTCACATGATAAGAGCTCTGGCGGTGGAGAGTTTCTCAGGGTGATTAAATCATCAGCATAATTAAGTACTGAGGTTTTATCCAGCCTCCAACAGTTCCATTTCCCCTGGACCTTCACTGGCTTCCCTCATGGTCTCCAGGTGGAAAAGCAAGTACAGGCATCACCCTTCACACTCGGCATTCGGAAACAGAAAATACAAAAGGGCCATTTCTTCTTATTCTTGTTTGTTCGTTTTGTTTGTTTTAAGGAAGGGAAGTCTTTCTCAGAAGTACACCCAGCTGAGCTGGTCAGACATCTCTTTTTTTCCCTGGACTGAGTGAAATGCCTGTCCCTAAATCAGTCCCTGGCTTATATCAACCATGATGAACCCCCCGTGGACAGGGCCAGTCTCGCCTGAAATCTAACCACGTCAGCTATGAAGAGGGGTGAGGAGGCCTGAGCAAAACCAGGGTTATATTAGAAAGGAGGGCAGTAGAGGCAGATGGAGGCTGGGAGGCCTCAGTGGCATTCGCTGTAATGCCAGTGGTAGGAGGTGGAGAGGGAGAGGATGAACAGCTAGAGGGTGGATTTTCTTTTAACATTTTACATCAATGTATTGAGAAATTGAGAGCAACCTGCCCTTATTTTCTGCCACTCAGGGAAGTCTCGTAGCCATAGAAACGAGGACCACTTGGAATCAAGTTCTCCAGCCACAGCCATGGTTTGTCAGGGAATTCTACACCCTCAGGGAGCTGGCGCTCTTCTTAGGAGGATGTGGGACTCGGGCTGCCAGGCTGGCTGGGACGGGCAGCTCTGCAACAAGCACAGTCACCCAGCGCAGGGAAAGGGCTTCAGGTTCTAAATGCTCTCTTGGGAGCAGAGAGAAGGCAGCCCGTGGGAACAGCGGACAGGCAGGCTTTGTCAGAAAAGTGGAGTCGTTGATTCTGTCACGAATGCCTAAATGGTCATTATGCTGTGGTTCAGAATAGAAGTGCCGCAGCCTCTGACGTTCCATTTACACTCCCTTGATACAAGCATCGCGACACATCAGACTGTCTCGGGTTTGTTTAAACCCATCGTCCTGAAATTCATGAGAGTATTTGCACGTGAATCCAGCTTCCCTTTCTGTTTGTCGTGCCTCCGGGACTTTTCTTACCTGATGAGGGGGTGGCTGATACATGTGTGAGGTGTGGGTAGCATGAAGATTGCGTGCAGAACTGAACTCTTGGCGTCTTCATGTCAATCTGAAGATGTGTGCATTGGCCATCACCGGGCAATATGAAAGCCTGAAAAATGCATGCCCAACTGTCCAAATCCAACTGCCTGGACACCTATTCTTAGGAGCAGGGTAATAGACCACCCTGTCTACACTCGCTGGGTCATAGAGAAACTACCACTACCAGGTTATCCAGGACACCCTGGCCCACTTGCTGGCTGGACTGTTCTCCATTCCTCTCTAGCCACGTTCTCATAAATCAACGTGAAGAATATATATCAATATACCGATATCAGAATGCGATACTGCAGCACATAACAACGATGGTCATGATGACCACTGTTGCTCATTTAACGGATGTTGTTACTTGCCTACTCGTATGTCTGCCATATTCTGGGTGTTGGAAACCAGCAGTGAACAGGCAGGGTCCCCACCCTTAGTTTTGTTTTTTTTTTCAGATATATACCGAGGAGTGGAATTGCTGGGTCATATGGTAGTTCTATTTTTAATATTTCGAGAAACCTCCATACTGTTTTCCACAGTGGCTGCACCAATTTACATTCCCTCCAAGAGTGTAGGGGGGTTCCCTGTTCTCCACATCCTTGACAACATTTGTTTATTTGTGTTCCTTTTGTTGATGGCCATTCTGACAGGTATGTGATGATACCTTGATGTGCATTTCCCTCATGATTAGCGATGTTGAGCATCTTTTCATGTGCCTGTTGGCCATCTGTATGTCTTCTTTGGAAAAATGTCTGTTCAGGTCTTCTGCCCATTTTTGGATTGGGTTGTTTTTTTTTTTGATGTTGAGTTGTGTGAGCTGTTTATATATGTTGGATACTAACCCCTTATCAGTCATATCATTTGCAAATATTTTCTCCCACACGGTAGGTCTTTTCATTTTGTCGATCATTTCCTTTGCTGTGTAAAAGCTTTTAAGTTTCATGAGGTCCCCTTTGTTTATTTTTGCTTTTATTTCCTTTGCTTTAGGAGACAGATCCAAAAAAATATTGCTACGAGGTATGTCAAAGAGTTTTATGGTTTCCAGTCTTACGTTTAGGTCTAATTTTTTTAGTGTAGAGAGAGGGAATTTAATAAATAATGGCAGAGGGAGTATTTAGTAAGTGATGGTACCTTCCTTATACACTGACACTCTGCTGAAGTACATGGGGTGTTTATAACATTTCACTGACTTTCTACTGTACTTTATTTCCCCTT